GAATTAATGTGTTTCATGTCAATTGAACCGATGGAAATTATAGCGTGTGATGAAAGATTAAAATGTTGATCAATCCAATTATTATTAACCATATGTGTTAATTGTTTAATTGAAGCGCCATGTTTTGCACGAATGTTTATATCAAAATGTTTATCGCCCACAAATAGTTTACCTGGTTCCAAATTTCGAACGATACTCGAACCAGTAATCGTAATAGGAACAGATGGATTTGATTTTGATTGTTCATGGTTAGATGAGATGAGAGATGATTGTGATATGGAACTTGATTGCGTTAACTTAGCAGTAACCGATGGTTTCTGAAAACTTTGTTGTACAGGTTGAACTTCAAAGGAAGAGTGTAGCTTTTCAATTGTGACCGATAATTTGTCTATTAAATTAGTAGAGACGAGTTGCTGTTGAGATGAAATAGGTAATTGATCGAGTAACTGTTTATTCGTCTTCATAAGACCAACTTGTAGATCGCAAGTTTGATGTAAATCTACACACCGTTCATTCAATAATTTAATATCATGATTTAAATGTACAATCGTTTCATCTGTTGACATCATTTTAGCTTTAAACCGTCGTAATAATTCAACTAATTGACCTTGTGAAAGGTCACCGCATGATTTTTTAGAAGCATCATTTAAAGAAGAGAGATAAATATTAAACACTTCGTAAATGTTAAACACTTCGTCAATAGAAGTTTTCAATCAGCAATGCGCTATAAATCCGTTCCTAATACTCGATTTCAAAACGATAAGATACATATCATTTACATACGTTAAGAAAAAACCGGATCACTTAGAATGGGTAATTGGTGGACAAAACTGTACGATGCATTTGCTTCTCTAGGCGGTGATAAAGAAGCCAGAATTCTCATGCTTGGCTCGATGCTGCAGGCAAAACAACGATTTTATAAAAGATTAAATTAAATGATAGCTTGAGTACAATTCCCACGATAGGTAGGGTGTACTGCTTTAGAAAGTAGTCTACACGATGCGTTAATATCATCAGTATAATGTATTTGTCAGGTTTTCATGTTGAAACTGTTAGTCCATGTCGTGGTGTCAGGTTCACTGTTTGGGACGTAGGTGGTCAAGAGAAAATACGACAGCTATGGAGACATTATTATCAATGTGCTGAAGGATTGATGTTTGTCATTGACAGTAATGATCATGAATGGTTAGAAGAAGCAAAAAGCGAACTAAATGAAATATTAAATTTACCAGATACGCCACACGTTCCACTCGTTATAATTGCAAACAAGCAAGATTTACCACGTAGGGAAAACAAAATAATCAAAACTTGCTTTGATACTTAGTCTAAAATCTATTGTTTAGATGCAATGTCGTGTTCAAATATAATTGAAAAATGATTGAAAATGATTATTCAAATGATTAATAGATAAAATATCGCTCGATTACTTCTGTTTGGATATTTTCAACAATTTGTACACACCTTTATCTTCATACTTTTCTACTACGAACAACTCTGGAATAAATTAAAAGAATAAAATCATAACCGAGCATGTGATAAATCTTTGTCATTCTTCAGGCTACTTGATTGAATAATAGATATTAGAGAGTTATTTCCAAGATTCTAGTAGCTGCTCGTAGTACAATAATAGCAGTACAGATGGAATCGATCAATAACCGCATAAATCGACAAAACTGGTCACTCTGGTTTTATTAATTGCAAGTTCAAATCAATTTTAGATAGTTCAATTTTAAATTTTAGATTTAGATCAATTTTAGAATTAGTTTTTCAAATAAATTTCTATACGAAAGCGTTTTTGTGTATATTTTAGAGTTTTGATGTGTAGCGCTTACATATTTACCTTTTTCAATATACTAGCCTATCAGCAAGAAGTGCGTTTCCTTTCGTTAGCGTATTTTAAGCATTAACTACATGTTCAAAATGGATCTCTTTACTTTTTTTAATCGCTCGAACATGTACATAGTTTCTTAACGTTCAGATTAAATGGGGATATAGGTAAAGTCCACGATTTACAATTTTAACATATTTTTCAAATGCTAAGAGATTTACTGCTAAATTAACGATGATATGAACTCTTTCAACTATTGCTCTCTCTTTTTTCCACGTACCCGAGCTTTTATTTGTGTTGAGAAAGAAAAATAGAGAAAACTAATATCACAATAATGGTAATAATGACATTCTTTTCTCAATATGAATGGATCTAAGTGGGAAGATAGCGTGAAAACTACCATCAACTATAACTATACCTAACTAATTTTGGTGCTTTTTTGGAATTAATCGATCAAAATTTGTTATCTTTGGCTAACTCGGCATTCATACCGGTTCTTTTACAAACAATAATGAGAAAATAATTAAAATTGATGTATACAATGTATTTGTATATTAGAAAAAAATAAGTGAAACAATATAAAAAGATCTGTTTTTTATTCGAAAAATCGTACAAAAAAAATGTGAGAACATAACGAAAAACTACAAAATTTCCTCAGAACAGAAAAAAACTATATTTCAATAAAATAATTGAACAAAAACGATGAAAGATGGTACATAATATATAAAAAAAGCTCTTGAAAAAATCTTATAGCGCTTGCAGATAATTTAATTGAATCAATCCATTTTTGCAACTTTAAAAACTTTATTCTAATACCAATGATAGTAGATACAACAGTGTGATATTATTTACTTTTCTATGCGTGAAACAAAGAACAAAACATCATATTAAAATTATAATCAATTTTGTTTGTATCTACTATCATTGGGACTGAACAGTACCTGGCTGCTTGCCAGTACCAGAGATGCAACCGGTCAACAAAATCATAACCGGTACCGGCCGGTCACCGGTTACCGGTGAACATATGCAGACCGGACCGGACCGACCGGTTGACCAGTCATTCTTATAAAAATTTTTGAAAATGTTGTATACAATAATTTCCTGTATGGATAAACAGTGAGTTTATACGAAATTTATATAATATTATGTTATATAAACGCGAAAGGATAACCGATGAGAAAATAGAATGACTGGAAAACAATGTCAGAAGAAACTTATCTTGAGAGATTGCTTGTTTATTCTTCTAGATGCACGTGTATTCACATATATACTATTAGAGTTCATAGCAAAAGAGTTTCGTGATGTTTTTTGCGTTCTGTTTACTAGGCCTGTAGCAGCAAATGTAAATGTTAAAACTTTGGTCAAAAAAGAGACATTTTACATTTAAAATGTTTCTTTTATCAGCTGCGCCAGAACAGAATTCTGTTCTGGCGC